TTGCATCAGCCGTTACTCAAAACAGTTTAATGAAATAACATATTTGATAAGTTGGTAACCAATTACCCAGGTCTTAAAGCTGAACTCCAGGCACATTGAAATACATTCGGCCTGGGCACATTCAGCCTGGGCACATTGAAATACATTCTTGTGTGTACCAAATGCCTTTGCAAACCCAAATGAAAGTAGCGGAGACATCATCACTGGGCTGCAAATAGCCTGTGCAGAGAGCAGAGCTGTGGGAGGGACCCAGCAGGCCCCACCCACTACAGGCTGCCTGGAGAAAACTACAGGAGGGGGCGGATACAAGACCCAGCACAAGGAGAGAGAGCAGCAGTGACTGGTCTGCATTACAGGAGGGAGCAGAGACAAGACCTGTCACCAAGCACAAGGAGAGAGCAGCAGTGACTGGTCTGCATTACAGAAAAAAAGGAGAGTATGCAAAAACCAAATAGATTAACTAAACCAAGCGCAACATATTAGCCCTTCTTCTCAGTGTTCAACATACATTGTTGCAGCTGGTGCCTAATATTGACTCCTAGCGCAAACTAATTTGTTTGAAATAAATGGTCTGCATTACAGGAAGCTCCTGCACAGAGGAAGAGTTTCACACTGGATTACTGCACAGATCTGGAAGAAATACGCAAAGCACACCGAGATTCCAGTAAGAATACACATGATCCTTGTATTCAAACAATATTTGCTTTCCCCGGAGTTCAACTTTAAAGTATACGTAAACCTTCCTCTTTTCTCCATATAGGGCCCATTAAACCCAGCAAGTAAAAAATCTATTTAGTAGATGTTACTGCTACTGCAAGAACTCGTCAGTCAATCCCGCCCCAGCAAGAGCACCTGTCAATCAATCCCATATGACCACACCAGCAGACGTGAATGCCTGTGATGTGTGTTAAGTACGGGACACGCGAGGTGTGCATTAGACTGGACATAGGAGCAGGGAGGCTGGAGTGACATTGCTTCTACAGCAAGAGCTGCCTATGAATAGTGTTGTCACTTCAAATCTGGAAGATGATAAAAGTGGCGGAATCAGGGGCGTCCCGAGGCTGGGTGACACCCGGAGCGGTAACCGAGTGTCACCCCGCTGAGACACCCCTTGTGACGCCACTGGGCAGAATCAACATGTATTTTATGAGCAATGGTAAGTGGTTGGGAGAAACAAATGTCAACACATCCTGGCAATTTTGGTGAGTGACCCATTAGAAATTCTTATTTGGATTTACATCATTATAAAGGGAACTTGTCATAATAACATAGATTCCAATGACGTGTAGTTATGGTCAGCAAAGAGAAGGTCTTGTCTGAAATCATGCTTGATGTCAGTGGCGTCACAAGGGGGGTGCGGCCCGCACCCGGGTGCCACCATTGGAGGGGTGACACCAAAATGACTGATAGTCATTTTGGTGTCACCCCCTATGAAAAGTCGGGCACTCGGTCATGGAGTAGGGGACCCGGCGACATACCTCATCCCGCCGGGTGAACGTCCCCTACTCTCTCTGCCGGCGCCCATCACTAAGATGGCCGCCGGCAGGCATCAATAAGATGACTGCGCATGCGCGATGACGTCACGGTGGGGTGTCACCCGGTCTCAGGTCCGGTTGACACCCAGCCTCGGGACGCCCCTGCTGAATGTGGAGACTTTCATCTGCCTGGTGAGGGCCGACAAGAACCTATGTGACCCCAGTGATGCCCATTACAAGAACTGTGGCAAGCGACAGTGGGCCTGGGAGGAAATTGGGCGTGAGGTTTGGGAGCTCCAACAGGAGGAGACCCCACAGAAAAAACAGCGGATACAAGGGCAAGGACGACAAAGGATGTCATAGATGACTCTGCCTTCCATTGGGTAAAACAAGAAATAATCCAAGGGTTTCGGGTGGGTGCTGAGGTGACTGCAGGTGCCACTGCTGATCCAAGGCTACTCGAATAAGGTCACTCACACTCCCGCGTGATTATGTGTCAGTGCTCCTTTATTGAAAAGTGGGGTGTCACATTGTATAATGACATTTCGGAACTGTGCCGGTCCCTTCTTCAGACAAAAATTGTATTTTTTCCTTTTTGTTTTTCTTGCTATGCAATAAAACTCCTGCTTATCACAAGCTTTGGCATTCACCACAGCCACCCTCCCATAGTTCCATTGCTTGCAAAGTGCAATGATTGGGTACCAAGCGCATTTATCCATAACAACCAATCAGAACTCATCTTTCCTCTATTTGCCTGCTGCAGACTGAAATTTGGTTAATCTGGGTTCTGCAATTTGCCATGGTCATGCAAATGAACAGGGATCTCTAGTTTTTTTGGTAATGGTAAATAAGGAGAAGGGAAAACTGATGTTACGGCCATTTTTCAGACTTGTCACATCTTGAAAACCACATGCTCAGCTGCTGACACCGCGCAACAGACAGAGGGAAACATGAGAGGTTCAGACTAGCTCTCAGCTGGGATGAGATATGACAAAACACCACTTGACTACTACAAAGGACCAGTGAAATATTCCGCTGAAGGGAACCCAAGGGGAAATAAAGATATCACATTTGCTCAAAAGCAAATGCACTCCTCAGTCTTCGGTACCATTAACCAGAGACGGTTCAATCTGGGGGACTCAACAAGGGACACAAGATCATCACAAGGGTCTGACGTATTGTTGGAACTATATCAGGCTTCTAATGTCTTCAGGTCTCATTAGGCTCAATTCACAAAGGATACAAGGATAAGGATCTTTTCTCTTAACCATGTGACTGTCATTTTCCAATCTCATTGGACTCGGCAGGAAATAACTGTCACTTTCTTGAAAATAAGGATCCTTAAACCTGATCCATTTCCTTTGTGAATTGAGCTGATTCTATTGGCTAAAATGCGCTGGAAATGCCAGGTTGTCGTAGAATGTAACGGAGGAATCACCTCTGGAATATGTGTCAGAGGATCGTTTATGATTTGATGATATGAGATTCCTCACTTTTTAAGCTGGCCATACACTGGTTGAACTTCACCCAAGACCGCTGGCTCAGCGGAAATCCAAGCAGTGTATGGCCCAATTGGGACCCTTTCATTCGACAGTAGTCAAAGGAGCAGGTTCTAAAATTATTTACTGAACAGTGACAGCAGCCAGTCAGTTCTGACAGTGCCACACCCCCCACTGTTAGCACAGATAGGGGATGTCAGACGGGCAACTCTGCAGCTAGTGATCCTACCATTGCAGATTGTCAAAATTACCAGCGACAGGATCGTTAAGAGGCTGCAGTGTGTCCCTATGGAATTGCTCCCTCTGTAGTGAGGCAGCGAGATATCGCTCCCATTGCTAGCAAGATTCAGCAGCATTCGGGCCAGCGACAGAGCGAATTCTTGTTGCATCCAAAGGTGAGTAGGGATGAGGTGCGGGAGTCGGGACCATGAACTCTCTAAGTCTAATAGGAGCAATATTTGGGCCTTTTGGCTCGGTTCACAGAACAGGGGACCCTCCAGAGGGAGGGGCCACACAGAATGAGAAATCCATGTGAATGAAGACTAAAAAAGAGCGCCAGGTAATCTTCTCAAGAGTCAAAAAAAAAACAACGTTATTGGCTTCACAAATATGCACAGCCAACATCCCAGATAGCAAAGATAACTTGCCACAAACTTGTGGCAGGGTTACATTGTAATTCTTGTTAACTTGCTGCACACATTCCTGGCAAGTTGTAGACTTGCAGAGCACTTGTTGACACTTTTTGAACTTGTAGCAAATTTGCTTAGCAAGTCTACAGCAAAAGTCCTGCAGGTCTTAAGGTCCCCACACACCTTACGATAATCGTATGATAATCACAGGAAATCCCGCGATCGTACGATTATCGTAAGGTGTGTGGAAGCCGTGCGACCTCTACTACTGTAAGGTCGCACGACTTTTATCTTAGGAACATGTTTCAAAACCCGCCGAGCATCGTACGATGTTCGGCGGGTGTGTAGCATGTTCGTGAGATAAAAGCCGGACGGGCCGGTGTGTGCAAGCGCACTCTCCCGGTTCGGCATTGCGGTCATCGGAGGCCCGCCCCTCAGGGGGCGTGGCTTACGATCATCGCAAGTACGATCTGCCTATGCAAGATAGGCAGATCGTATGTTTTTTTAAGTACCTTACAACCATCGCAAGACAAAAGTCTTGCGATGGTTGTAAGGTGTGTGCCCAGCCTTAGCAAGAGCTCTGCAAGCTCGCTGGTCTGGAGACTTGCAATGCCGACTTGCTGTAATTGTGCAACAAAATTGTGAAGCTTGGCAAGTCTGCAATACTTTAGCAAGTCATTTTCAAACTTGCAGCTCAATTACTTTCTATCTGGCATGTTTCAGGGGTTAGGACTCCCTCTTCATCAGGGCCTAAACAATGGATAATTTGACACTGATAGACCCTATACTCATAGCCCCTGCACAACATCCTATTTGTCAGGCAGGAGTGGAAATCATTGGTGTGAAAAGATTTTTACCAGCAGTTGATCATTTGTACAATGTGTCTACAGAGGAAGTGGTCCCATAGGGACAGACAGGTAGACTCTTTAGAGACCGTGCTACTGGCAATTTGTCTCTAGCAGCAGAATCACCCTTTCTGAAATCGGTCTAAATGTCAATACACCTTCATGTCTCATCTCTGCTCCTGTACTTGCTAAATAATTATTTTAACAGACAGAGTAAGCCTAATTTACCAACATATATATAGTAAAGCCCATCAATATTGTCCTGTAACCAATTAGATTCAGGGCCCATTAACACTGTGGCAAAAACTGTAGAACCAGCACACGATGATCTTCCAAAGAAACGCAAACTTTATTCCACTTGCATCTATACAAAGAACTTCTGATGCGTTTCAGCCTTACTCGGCCTTAGTCATAGCTGGTTGTGATCTAACAACCAGCTATGACTATGGTATTAGATCACAACCAGCTATGACTAAGACCGAGTAAGTCAGAAACGCGTCAGCGGTTGTTCTTTGTATAGATGCAGATGGAATAAAGTTTGAATTTCTTTGGAAGATTATTGTGTGCTGGTTCTACAGTTTTTGAGCCTATCACTCCAGAAGAGAGTCATCTGTGCACTGAATGCGGATTATAAGGATGCATAATAGGGGTGAGCTGTGCGTTTTGAGTTCCCATTAACACTGTTACGTTTTAACACATGCGTTGCAACAAGCTAAAACGCATGTGTGCAACCTCTCCATAATAAAAATTGGGTCTGTTCTCATCTCAGTGCTGCAATACAGTGTGTTGTGAAAAGTATTACATAGTTTATAGCAACACATCAAACATGCATTTTGATGCGCTGGCAACAGCTATTGACGAGCCTTGGTCAATGCCTATTAACCCTATCCACTCCACATTCTAAATCCATGAAAACATTGACAACATGCGTCAGCGTGAGAGCAAATAGGGCAGCCATATGCCTCGTCATCTAGTTAGTCAATGCACAAATTATTATTATTATACAGGATTTATATAGCGCCAACAGTTTGTGCAGCGCTTTAAAATATAAATGCACGTTGACACATGACAACACACCTGCCTAACGCTACAAAACCTCTACGCACATAGATCAGGCTGGATATACACTGTTTCATGCACATGCGTTGTGTATAGGTGTGAATAGGCCCATATAGTTTGCCATTACCTGCAGAACATAGATGTGAGCCAGAACGTTAGGAAAGAATGAGATTTGACTTTGAAATACATTTTTGTGTTGCACGATGCACATGTTTTGCTGCATCAAAGTGCAAATAGGCTCCAAACATTTATTACTATTATTATTATTATTATATAGGATTTCTATGGTGCCAACAGTTGGCCCAGCACTTTACAGAATAAAGGGGAGCCAGTACAGTTCAATACAGGAGAGCTAAGAAGGTCCTACTCATAAGGCCCCTTTCACACAGTCCGATCAGGAGCGGATCCGTGCACAGATCCCCCGTCACCATTGTAACATCCGTGTCCGTCCAGTTTTTTCTTCCATCTTGCAATAGAGAAAAAAACTGAAATTATCCGGACCTATGGGGAATTGGATGTAACATGACTTGTGTCCGTTCAGATTACCCCCGATCAGGCACGATCAGGTCCGGCGAAACGGAACTCTGATCTGTTACTTCTTCTGGACCTGGGGAGAGCCGGGGGTAAACGGATGTAAACAGGTGCCTATAAGTTTAAATCTGGCTGCCCATAGACTATCACCGGGCTTCTGATTAGGTCCTCCTAAAAAAATGACAGGTGGACCTGATGGCAAAGCCCGTATGAAAGGGCTCTAAGAGCTTACAATCTACATTCATTCATTCTGCGTTTTCTGGTGGAGGTTTGACTTCTATAACGAGAGCATCATCCAGGCAGGAGTCCCGGCTTCATTCAGCTACAAATTCTCTCTTCTGATGACCAGACGCTGTTGTCATCTTCTACACATTTACAGTAAACACTTTTTGGATTCTTAAATATCTGTTTTGTAGCTTTCCGTCCATCAAGCCTTGATACAAATGTAGCAAGTCTCTTATTTTATGTTTCATTCTTCCTCCCCCTCGCTATGAGTCACCAATTCTTTTTTCTGCTCTTTCTGAGTAATTTTCAGCCTGTTCGGCTCTACCACCCCCCTATCTCCCTCATTACCTGTGTCTGGTCAGAGATGTCCTGCCCATACTGCTGCAAATATCTACTGACCTACCTATGTTCTCATATAAGCTGCTTCTGATTATCACCATCATCCTCATATTAAAGAGTTTACTGGGTCTCTCCCATCCCAACTCAAGCACAGCACACACACAGCCTCCTAACCATAAACCGTCTATGACAGAACAGACACATCAGTAAAAAACAAAACAAAAAGAACAATTTCATTTTTACGAACCTTCAAAGTCGGAAATGATACCTTCCAGGTGCGCGTTGACCGTCGGATCAGACATTTTGGGGACCGTCGGCTATTCCAGATTCTGTCCGGATCCCGGCAGTGATTTCTTATCCCCCCCCCCACCCCCCCCCTCTAAACAACAAATCCCAAATTTGGAAAAAATGGGCTCACATCAGAAGCTGCCGCCAAGAAGGGGGAAGGAGAAGGAACAGAGGGAGGAGGAGGGGGGGAAGGATTCTCCTCTTATGACTGAGATTCAGGAACTCTTTTTCCCTTTATTGCTTGTAGGGTTTTGTCTCTCACTCTCTCCCTAACTTGAGCCGAGGAGAGAAACACGGCCCCTGAAAGCTGACTTGAATCAATGGTGCAAAGGCAGCCTTGTGACTCCACCCCGGTCACACACTCACACACACTCTCTCACACACACACACACACAGCTCGCACATCTCACATTCCCCAGGCTGCACTGAGGTGGCCAGCTTTTCTGGCAACGCTCTGAAATCCTCGAAACGTCTACCAATGGGTTAATCACGACGCTTGGCACGTCATCAGATTTCAAACGTCACAGGATGGCGAATCAGTATTTTTCTTTCAGGGTTCATTCACATGGACGTGCATATCCATACGGCGTGCACACCCGTGCAGAGAACTGATCCCCGGAGGGACAGGTGCCGTGTGTAATTGCATGCAGCCGACTGTACCTCCCTATGGGAGGCCGCAGCTGCACGCGGCTACACTCTGACCCGAACTGGCACATCCGTCCAGGTCCAGGTGCCCACACTTGGATGCAGACAGTGAACGTTCAAGTGCAGGCAGTCTGACCAGTATGGATCTGCAGGTTGGGGTCGGCAGGTAGCTATGTGCAAAAAGCGCTGTGTTCAGATGAGGAAATCATATCACAAATCGGAACGCAACAGTATGGTACGCTATGAGCCGTGCACACAGCTAGGTTTACATCAGTAAAAACTGCGTCAAAATCCGTAAAATAGAAACATCTGCCTCCATGGCCAGTCATTTACGCATGCACACATCTAAAACGTGCATACATTTGAGGAATGGCAGAAGAATTGCGCGAATCTCTGCGTTTATGCGACTAAAAGCGTGTTGACGGAAGCACTTTACTGAGCAATAGATGTGTTTTATATATGTCAGCAAGATCCTGCGTAGATGTCAGTAAATTCCTTACGGCCGTGTACATTATTATTATACAGAACTTATATAGCGCCAACAGTTTGCGCAGCGCTTTACAATATAAGGAAGACATTACAATCACAATACAATTCAAGACAAGATGGTAAGGAGGGCCCTGCCCGTTAGAGCTTACAGTCTTAAAGCGAGGGGCAAAGAGGTAGCTGTGAGGGGATGAGTTGTTTGAGAAAGTGATAGTTCAGTGGTCAGGTTGAGGTGGGATAGGCTTCCCTGAAGAGATGAGTCTTAAGGGATCACCTAAAGGCAGTCAAGGTGGGAGACAGACGGGCAGGTTGGGTAAAGAGTTCCATAAGATGGGAGAGACTCTAGTGAAGTCCTGGAGGCAAGGATGGGAGCAGTTGACGAGGGAGCTGGAAAACATGAGATCTTTTGAAGAGCAGAGGGGACGGTTAGGGTGATACTTTGAGACAAGGTTGGAGATATAGCCGGGGGCAGAGTTGTGGATGGCTTTGTAATATTTTGAATTTTATCTTTTGGGCTATTGAAAGCAAGTGCAGGGACTGACAGAGGGGGGTTGCAGACACTGTACATGGGCCCATAAACAGCTATTTACTTTAGACATGTAAGTTTAAGTTCGTCCGAATTTCCGAATGGCAACATAACAAATTGGAACGTGTGTGAATTTTAGGGGGGACCCCAACGTCAACATAAAACAAAACAAAAAGCGTAGGGTCCCCCTCCCCATGTTGTATGGTTCAAGAGGGGGGAGGGTGCACAATCGTTTCGCTCCCTTTCCTGCTCTGCCAGATCAAGGGCCTGGTGAGGGACCCCACATCTGTTTTGTTATTTGGCATGGGGTCCCCCCTAAAATTACTACCAGACCTTAAGGGTCTGTTTGGAATT